TCAGATCTATTGTAATGTTTTTTTTGCAGTAGTGACACTGTTAGAGACCAATATTACATCAGCAAACTGTAATAAAAATATGCACTTTTTCAAATAAATAAAAACTAATTAAAATAAGCATACTATTTTTTTTATGCATGCAAACCTTGACCTGGGATATTTTATCCCTTATAGTGTGTACTACACCCTTTTAAAGGTGTTCTTCGAAGAGTTTGGTTATTTGTAGAACTATGAAAGCCCAAAGGACCATTGAATAGTTATGTTTTTGCATGGTTAAATGGTTCTTCTCTATGATGGACAAACTGTTGAATATATATTTGTGTTTTAGAGAATCTTTTAAAATGGTTCGGTATAGCACCAAAAAAGTGTTGTTACAAGTCAAAAAACATTTTGGTACTGTACAAAAACATTTTTTTCTAATGGTCTGATGGTGCATAGTCATTTTTGTATAAATGGAAATTATTCAAAATAAGAGTCCAATTTGATCTTGCACAAGTCTGATTTTCTTATTACGATCAAATTAAACCAAGACAAACAGGAGAACATCAGTAGTAATACTGTGATGTTTATTCTTATGTATTATAAATAATGTTACAACCTCACTTTTAAATGTGCCTCCTACGTTGAAGGTGTGAAACTTGAACTTTGATGTTTGGAATACTTAAGTCACATGTGTGTTATCCTTCTAAATTACCTGATGTTCTAGTGAAATCTTTTCCATACACACAACTGGAGGGCACTGCTTTTTTCCGTTTGATTTTTCTTTGGCTTGCTGAACGCTGTGTGGTTTTCATAAGAGTGAATGCAGAGCAGCAGAGGTTTTCCATTAGATAGTGTAAAGCTGCTCAGTGGACTTTAAACAAGACACAGGTGCTGCATTCTCAAGGAAACAGATGTGATGAGTTCCTGTATTTTTGTTTTTCTTTTCTTTTTTTTTTTTATAAATAGCATGTTCTGGCTTAATTTGGCTGCCAGTGATTTTTATTTATTTATTTATTTATTTTAGCTCAGTTGTCATAGGTCTGTGTCCTCCATTTTTCTTGCAATTATTTTTTTTCCCCTGAGGTCATTTATGACATCTGTGTGGCTTTATGTATAAAAAATAGTCATCATTCATTTTTAGTCACCATTTTTCATCAGTCACCATTTTTCATCAGTCACTTCTCTCTTTACCCCTTAGAATTAAACAGGCTGTTTTGTGCATTATTCAAAAAGCTTTCCAGGCTGAAACATTCCTTGTAACTTCAGCATAAATGGCCAAAGCTAAACTGCTGTAGACTGAATAGGTGGATGTATGTTAATGTGTAGCATCACAAATGTGTGATAAACACTGAATGGTATCTTTTGATTTTAAATGTACATACATCAGCAAACCTTTATTTCAAAAAAGCAAGGAAAATTCTGTTTTCCATGATCTGAGCTGGTAAAAGAAGTAATAGGTCAATACCATCCACCTCCATCAGTTTTCCCCATTTTTCCTTCCATTGTCTTGTGGTATTTCACATGCTGCATGTATTCTTGTGTCTGCATTCCACACATTCATGTGAGAGCTCTAGAGATGGCCCTGGACAACAGAGTGAGCTTCACTGCCAAGTCTGTGTTTTTGTTTCAGGCTGAAGTTGAGTTCAGCTGAATGAACACCCCTCCCCACAAAGATAAGTGGACCTGTGGTGGAGATCATTATGAAAAGCCTCTTTGAGAAGCTGTTCCTTCTTACTAATGGAGGTTGTATATTGTTCTGTAAAAAGAACCTTTTAAATTGAGCTTATGCTGTTAGAAGTCATAGAACTTTTTTGTGGTGCTATATACACCAATCAGCAGCACTGCTGTGTCTGATCAGTGCAACACACGCTAACACACCACCGCCACATCAATGTTACTGCAGTGCTGAGAATGATCCACCAGCCAGGGTAAAAGGGGGCTAGCAAAGTATGCAGAGAAAGAGATGGACTACAGTCTGTAATTGTAAGTGGAGCTGATAAAATGGACAATGAGCATAGAAACAAGGAGGTGGTCGTAATGCAATGCCTGATCAGTGTAGATCCCCTTTTCCTAGGAGTGAACCAGTTAACTATAACTTTGAAAGACCTTTCAATAATTTATTTACTGAAAGGTCAAAAAAAAGTCCAGTGTAGTCAACAGTATGTATAATATTTTTGTATCATTGACATTTTCTTCAATTTATATGTTAGAAAAAACACATTTGAATTTAATTAGGAGCTTTTTTTTCAGTGTGTCCTATTTTCTCTGAGCCATCATCGTCTTGTAGTCAGCAAAATCCAAGCCAAGGAGGGCTGTTTTGTTCAGTCAGCGTATGGTTTCATCGACCAACTGTGTGTTTACTGTGTATCTTGATTTCTGGAAACCCCAGTGCTCCAAAAAGAGCCAGTCATTTGTCCCACTGTCATTACTCTTCTTCTCTTGCTTTCAACTGCATTACAGTAAGAGAGATCACTGATTTCCTCTGTCAACATGTGGTTTCCAGCTTAGCTAGCTTTGACTTCACTAATGTGAAGGTGCCTCATGCTTCAGCTCATCCACAAGAGCATTAATATAAGAGCAAAGCAATGATGACAGTTTTCTTTCTAATATAGGTGAGATTTCCCAATGTACAGTAATACTGTAATTATTTATTTTTGTATTTTCTTAAATATACTTTACATTGTGTCTGATGTACTGTGCTACACACTGAAAAGGTGGAGAGAAATCACTACAGACCACATCCCCAATTTTAGACCTTTGTCCAAACCCCATCATTCCAAAAATTCACAAATTGTAGGTTGGTTTTGAAATTGCAGACTCTGATGACATGGGTTTCTGAGTTTGAACCAAGTGCAATGGTGTATCACAAGAAGCCTAATTTCACGCTTTTCCAGTTAAAACAGCCATTAAAACTTATTTTCAGTTCAGTTATTTTTCAGGAGATACTTCTGAGGAAATGCAAGATGTTATTGAGAAAATAAAAATGAAGACAATTTGCAAATCAGATGTTGTTCTCAGAACAATGAACTAGACACCCCAAACATACCTTCACTGAATGTGTTCAGGGTGACTTAGATTGTGAAAAGCAGAAAATGCGACCAACTTCTAAGACTAAACTTTGGAGGTGTGTAAAAGTATCCCTGGAGATTTCTTAGAAAAGCTGAAAGCAGGTCTACTGAAAAGAATGGAAGGTATAATAAAGGCAAAGCATAGACACATCAAAAACTAATATGATATTTGGTATTTATATTTCATTGTTTAGGCCTCTGTGTATTTTTCTGTTTTTTGTAATGTTCTGAATCGACATGTTTTAGTAAGAATAATTGGGAGAAGGTTTTGGTAGCTGACACAACCTAGTTTTCACTGGAGCAGATGGTATAATTTCAAAACAATTTGAAGATTAAAGTTACAGTGGAATTCTAACTTAAGATTCTAATGGAAGTAGATGTAGTATTTGTGTTTTTAAACAAAAGGGAAGGTCCAAAAAATCTGAAAGAAATAAAAGAAAAATGAGAAATATAATTTCTCTTTTTTTTTTTCCTGAGTTAATGAACACATACTCACTGAGCACTTTATTAGGAACACCTGTACACCTACTCATTCATACAATTATCTAATCATTCAATCATGTGGCAGCAGTGCAGTGCATAAAATCACAAATATACGGAGCAGCAGCTTCAGATAATGTTCACATCAACCATCAGAATGGGGAAAAATGTGATCTCAGTGATTTTGACCATGGCATGATTGTTAATGCTATACGGGCTGGTTTGAGTATTTTTATATCCACTCTGTACAGTAATGGTGAGCAGAAAAGCGTCTCAGTATGCGCAACATGCCACACCTTGAGCAGATGGGCTACAACAGCAGAAAACCATGTCAGGAGAACGAGAGATTCGCAGCATCAAAGTACACCTGAAAAGTCTGCATGAATTACATGATGCAGTCATGTCAGCATGGACCAGAATCTCAAAGGAACGTTTCCAACATCTTGTGAAATCCATGCCACAAAGAACCGAAGCCGTTTTAAGAGCAAAGAGAGGCCCTATCCAGTATTAGTATAGTGTTCCTGATAAAATGCTTGGTGACTGTATTTGTTCTTTGAAAAGAATATATTGTATACTATTTGTAAAGAATGTTTAACGTTTCAAGAGACATTCTATAACCCTGTTCCAGTCCATAATCATTCAGTTATACCATTTAGCACAAGATGATATTTATAATATGTTTCATACCCCAATACAGTCATATATAGAAGCCAAGGAGAGGTTTAATATGGTTCTCATTTCAAATGGTGAGCATGCAGTAAAGCCTAGAATCTCAGGTTCTGCTTCATAACTGTTTCCATTATGTTAGGATATTGCATATGGACTGTGAGAAGCAGACACAGAACCTAAAACCTGATGGAGATCCCTGTTCGATGTGCATTTACTTACCAAGTGAAAGACTCTATCTGCTTTTCAGACAACATTCCTCTATTCAACATACCAGCTCTCAGTACTTAATATCTTGTCAGACTAATGCAGCAGGAAGCAATGAGAACTGAAATGCTAACACATTTTTGTTACATTGTTTATGTGTAGACAAGTTTAAAATAATTCTGTTTTTTTATTACAATTCATGGCGCACTGATTATCAGTAACATAAAATATGCAGATGTAACTGGAAATGTCTTTATGACGGTGTCTATTGTAAACAGCTCTATTCACATAAAATGTGACTGAACTGATTTGAACTGAACTGACTGTGCCACACTGCATGGCATGATGATCAGGAATTCTGCCTTTATTGGAATAAACCAACAGACACAGCTGTAAACATTTTGACTTTAAACAAAAACATTTGCTTACAACAGTTATAAAAGTAGATACCAAGCATCAAGACAGTTATAAAGTGAACAGCAACAGAATGTGGTGGTCACATTTTATACAACAGCGTGCTAATGCAGAGCTATTTTGGGTCCTACTAATACGGTCCCAATACCTGTCAAGGTGTCATATCTTAACATTCAAGTCGTCATACTGACCACCTAAATGTGCTCACAGTGACCTATGTTATGTATTTAGGCACAAAATCTAGCTGCTTTTCAACATCACCAGCATTGTCATTTAAAATCAATACAGTACTGTATCTTCCCATATTCACCATGAACTATATGATACAAGACTCTCCATCCATAGATGGGCAGTACTTTGTGACATACATGACTGTCATTTAAGACCTGTGATGCAGATCTATCATGAAACTGGCAACAAAAGATAGCAGGAGAATTCCTCAGCTCCTCTGGCAGGATCCATAGTGTTACATGGTAATTTGATGGAAATCAAACTCTGTCCCTGTAAAGCTTTGGCCATTATCGTGTTCGCCAGTTCTTATTCCATGCCCCCCTGGTTGGCCCTGCATTCTGACAGCAGACTAAACGCTAAGCAGCTTGATGCCGTCATTGCATGATGACGTCAGGCTCAATGTTGAAGAGCAGGTCATCGTTGCCACGGCGAACCTCCAGCAGCAGGGCAGTGTCCTCTGTTAATGCATCCTTCAGGTCACTGGTGCTCATTAATGGCTGGCCATTCAGCTTCACGATGATGTCTCCATCCTTTATACCCCCTCTGGAGATCATGTTTAGATTGATGTTATTGCAAATTATTTTACACGAGTAATACAGTTTAGCAAATGGCGTATTCCAGTGTTTTTCAGGCTCTAGCGTCTACATCTGTATCACATCTTGGAATACCACAGTTATTACTATAAACGTATTATGTATTACCACAAAAATTACATATTACCACAAACCATCTTCCCTCCGTAAACTACTCCCATCTCTGAAAGAGCCAGTTAGATTCACAGCTTAACTGATGAATACCTTTGACTGAACTTTTCTTTAAAATGTATAAAAACCACTTTGCATGAACTTGTTCACATTGAACCCAGCAACTTCCACTGTAGACGAGTTTTGAGTGAACACGTTTCCTGTTTTTCCTCTCCAGCTTTGGTACTTAGAAAAGAATTTACTGTTTTGATGTAGCAGACAGATCAGGGTGTGAAATGCTGGAGTATTCCTTTAAAAGCTACAGCAATTTACGGGATTCTCCAGTTCCCACAATTTAATTTGACCCCAGCACTACACTGTGCACTCCTGTAGATGTTTATATGAATGAGGCATTTATTGTACAACTTGCCTTTTAAGTAACTTTTTTCTGAAATCTTGATCACAATCCAGAAATGCACAAAATGACCACAGTGTTAACCTCTTAAACTACAGGCTTATTATATTTATAATAATAACTAACTTATTATTTAATAACTACTATAAATGTTTGGGGATCCATGAAGCTAATATGACCTTTGAGCTGTCCGTATACATTTCCAAAGGTTTTCCAGAATCCTTTGAATTAACATCTTAAATATCTGATGTCAAGTCAGTTAAGACTCCTAAATGAACCCCAGTATGACTAATCTTTGATTTGCACAAGCAGAATCTTGTACTGTTTGAATGTGGCAGTGTGTGTTTGGCAGCTTACTTCTGAGCAGGAGAATGAGGAACCACCTCATGGACATAAATCCCACTACTGACATCAGGGAAGTCTGGGCTCTGCTGCTTCAGCTCTTCTACAAGTCTACAAGAGACACACAGACATCCAGTGTTCAAGCCAACTGACCACAACCTCCTACAAAATTCCCCATATCGTTTTCTTTCTGATATCTAAGATATCGAGCAATGCAGTGTTTCAAAATAATGTGGGACTGTGGGAACCTCTACTGCAACTTGGACTTGTAAGTTACTTTTTGTAAAACATGATGTAACTCTGGAATGATCACAGCTGGCATATATTTTCAAGACTTCCAAAAACCAGTAGTTACACTGTAATGTAACTATCAGTTATGGAGACTGCTGCTATGGTAATTGTGGAGGACGCTAAGCTCTTGAAATACTGCATTTCATCACTGTTGGAAGAAAACTCATATCTCGACAAAAAGTAATTTTACAGGAGAGGGAAAAACCTCAGCTTTCAAACTTTTAATGTAAGTTAATATAACTTGATTATATGTATATTCTAGTCATTTTGGACAAATGCTACTGGTCTGTTCACCATGAAATATTGAGACAGTGTACAAGGCAGCAAGTATTTTTTTAAATATGTAAATGAAACAAAAAAAGTTAAAAAAAAAATTATAACCACAAAAAATGAAGATGCAAGATTTTAGTCCAACAGCAATGATTTACTAAAACCCTCAGTTCTCAAACTGGTCCTTAGGGACCCCTTGATAATCCAGATTTTTGCTCCAACCCAGCATGCAACACATAGAGATACAATAAACATGTGGATTGTCTGGGGTCCCAGTTTCCCAACCACTGTGAAGACAATTATAAAGCAAGAAATCAACTCACGCTTCAGTAATTGTGAGCATACGAATTCCAATGAAACGTTTCTTCACTAATTTTACTTCTGCAACAAAGAAACAAGCAAAAAATTGTCAGGTCTAACCAAAGCAGAAATGATCATCATAAACCAGTCCCAGCTAAGACAATACAGAATACATGACAAACAGCTACTCTGGAATGTGGCTTGGAATGTTCAGTAAGTTTTCACAAGCTATATTGCTGTACCTTTGCTTTGCTTGCCCATTGAGTCATTAAGGAAGCGTGTTATTCTGTCTGAAGGAATGGCAAAGGAGATCCCAGCTGCCACCTTTAGAGTGTTGATTCCAATCACCTCTCCATCCTGACAGCACACAATATGATCAACATGAAGTTAGGAATAGTAGAATAGGCTTTTACAAATGTAGATCAAGCCTCTAAGGATTACATAATATGAACCAGTGATCAATTGCTTGCTCATTTAATGCATTTTTACTATTTCATCTGTATAAAACAAGAAATTCTACCCAGATTAAAATGAATGAGTTTATATGAAGTGGTGAACATTTACCAGATTGACAAGAGGGCCACCTGAATTCCCATACTGAAAAAACACAAAAACATCAATATTAATGTCATAACATAAATGTTGTTATAGTATGTCACATGAAAACAGTAGCAAGTGTTGACTGTCTCACATTGATGATTGCATCAGTCTGGATGTAATCCATGTCAGAGTCCTTGATGCCCAGCTCCTTCCCGTCCCTTTGTGCTGTACTCACGATGCCTGTGGTCACTGTGTTCTGCAGTGCAAATGGGCTCCCAATGGCGACCACAAACTCTCCAGGCCGCAAGTCTGCAGAGTGACCCAGCAACAAAACTGGCAGTTTTTTCTGAACAGGGACAAACAAATGAGAGAAACAGGCATATGGTTAATTAAATAAACTATTATTGTGCTTCTCATGATAAGATGTGCCATAGTTTCTTAACTCTTCTTTTCTTAACATTTTTTTAAACATTTTTGAAGACTGAAGGGAAATTCTGTAGATTTTTCAGTATGTCTGCATAATTAAATCTATACGATGTAAACAAAGTCATTTAGAGAGGACTGATGTGAAATATTATGTTGTAGAGAAACTTACAGAGTCAGAATTGTTCACAGTAATAGTGCCTCTAAAAGCTACATAACAAAATGTATGACATGGAATGGTTATGAATACGTTGCGGTGCATGTTACATGCGGTGCATAGTAAGGCAAAAGAGTGCTAATAGAAATTCTTTTAATTTTTCGGATTCACCACTGTCATACCATTATCAACATAACATAGCAGGTTCACTGGTTGTTTTAGACCGAAAATAAAATGGCTATATTTACACTGTAGACATTGCGACCCCTGGTTCCTATTACCACCACTGTAAAGAAATGAAGTTTCTCCACATTGAGGCATTTTCTGTCAAACCACTCTGACGGACTTACATATCAACATTAGAATTATGCAGAAATTTAGCAAAATTGGAGAATTTAAAGCAAAGGTTTGGCCAAATATACAGTTTTCACAGTGCTCTAAAAGATAGCAATAATAACCCATTCCCAACTTTATGTGACAAGTATCCACCTGTGGGTTGATTTTGATTGTGGCGATGTCAGACTTCTTGTCGATGTCTTTGATGGTAGCCTCATACACATCCCCATCATGCATCTGCACTTTGAGCTGCTGGCGACCCGAAACAGGCGTGGTGCTGGACACCACGTGGGCATTCGTCACAATCAGCCCAGTCTCCGATATCACAAACCCTGACCCGCTGGACAGGGGTACTGTCCGGCCAAACAGGGGGTGGCTAGGGTCAAAGGTCAACATTGTTAACTGTGTTAGTGTAAACTGTTCTGCCTGGACAGATTACGTACTAATAATTTTCAATAATTACACAGTACTGTACAGTAAGGTCAGAGACCACCCTTCATCCAACCATTAAGTACAAGGTTTTCATTCCACAGAAGATAAATTAGGTAATGCACTTGCATAAAGAAGGTGAAAGTCAAAGTACAGAGAACAGGACTTTCCAAATTTGGAGACAAAAAAATTGCAAAAGACATAAAGAAGCTGCTGGTGTTGAAGTTGTTGAAGGTGAAACAAGTCTCCTGAAAAGAATGAATGCTGTATTAAGGAAGAGTGTGGACACACTGCATATTGAAAATATTGTTTTATATTTAATTGTGGTGGCTTTTATGTAATTTGCTGTCATATATGTTAAATACATGTTTGCTGCTTCTTTCATGATATTGAAAAATGAATAACTTGTATTTAATGGTCATTTTGACTGGAAATTAAATAAAAGGATATTCTATGCTTTTTGCACAGCATTGTATATATAAATAATGTATCATTTTCAAATATGTGTAAATACAAGTTGAAGCACAAATACAGTTATGCCATAGACCAGACGCAATGACTCAGTGTGGTGATTAATGTAGTTGGTGACTCAGTGTTTGAATCAGTTGGTTTTGAATCCTGTCTGCCTCTCAGCTCCAATTTGTGTATTTAAGAACAGCTGTGGACAAACCAGCCAAAATTACATATACTGGCTGCCCTTGAACAGCTGTGTTTGGGAAGCTCAACAGCTGAAGTGTTTGCACACCTCAGCCTCCACATTTCCACCTTCTGATGAAAAAACATCTACCCAGACCTGCTGTCTCTGTCAACAAGTGTGTGCAGTTTTCCACAGAAAGTAGAGCAGACCTTTCAGTCTAGCAGAACGCTTAGTACACCAGTACATCCTCTTCACATTTTTGAGGACAATTATATGATCAGCTTCTTTTATTTTAACATTTGTTTCACGAATTTCTGTTTGTTTTGTATCAGGTTGATTACAGCACATTTGATAAGTCATGAAAGAGTATGATAAATGCATACATGCACTGTGATGGCATCAATCTGAAGGTGGATCTAAAATCTAAATAGATATTCAAAGTGTTTATTTTTTCTGTGTAAAAGGGCAAAGCAGAAAGCACACAGTGCCCTCCATAAATATTGCCACCCCTGGTAATCATGAGCAAAATAAGCAGTAAAAAATATCACTTATCCTTTTGGTCTTTCATTCAAAATATTAGAAAAAAATAACCTTTACTTAAGGTATAATGATTGAAAGAAAAAACTAAATCTTGTCATAAAAAGATATTTTTACATGTATGTGTGCCACAATTGTTGGCATCTATAGAAATTCTTAAGAGTGAAGTCTAACTGAAGTTTATTCCCATTCATATTTTATGTTTTAAAGTTCACCTGAGTGATAATACTTAAATGGTCAGCCATGATTTTCTGATTCACTGGGGTATATATATGAGATGAAACACAGGCCAAATTCTCTCAATCGTCCATTACTATGAGAAAGACCAAAGAAAACAAAAAAAAGCTGTTGAGCTGCACAAATCAGGAAATAGCTACAGGAAAATAGCTTAACAGTTGAGAATACCCATTTCCACTATCAGGGCTATAATTAAGAAGTTTAAAACAACTAGAGATGTTAAGAATCTGCAGGGAAGAGACGTATGTCTATACTGACCCCACGCACAGTGAGAAGGATGCTTTGAATGCACAAAAAACTCCAAGGATCACAGGTGGGGAACTGCAGATGTTAGTTCGGTCTTGGGGTCAGTAGCTCTCTCAAACTACAATCAAACACCACCTATATAACCACAAGTTGTCTGGGGGGAGTTGCCAGAAGAAAGCCTCTGCTGTCAAAGACCAACAAACTCAAGTTCCTACAGTTTGACGAATGTTCCTGGAACTTTCACTGGGCTGTGTTCTGTTGTCAGATGAGACCAAAATAGAGCTTTTTGGCAACAAACACCAGAGGTGAGTTTGACATGGACACAAAGATAGCCATGCAGAAAAATACCTCATCCCTACTGTGAAGTATGGTGGTGGATCTGTGATGTTGTGGGGCTGTTTTTCTTCCAAAAGCCCTTGACAATTTGTTTGGATACAAGATATTACAGACTACATCAAGTATCATCAGAAATAAAAGCAAAAGTTGCTTCAGCCAGGAAGCTTGAACTGGGTCATAGTTTGGATCTTTCAGCAGGACAGTGATCCAAAGCACGTGTCAAAATCAACACAAAAATGATTCACAGATCACAGAATTAAGGGTTTGCCATGGCCACCCCAGTCCCCTGACCTAAAACCCAAAGAAAACCTGTGGGATGAGCTGAACAGGAGAGTCCACAAGTGTGGACCGCAGAATCTGAAGGATCTGGAGAGATTATGTATGGAGGAATGGTCTCAGATCCCTTGCCATGTGTTTTCTAGTCTCATTAAGTGTTAATAGCAGAAGACTCAGCTGTTATTTTTGCAAAGGGAGGCTGCACAAAGTATTAAAGGGGTGCCAATAATTGTGGCACACACAAATTTCAGAAAAAATATTTATTTCCTGGTAAGATTTAGTTTTGTTTAATCATTGTAATCCAAAAAAGGTTAGATTTTTGTTAATATTTTAAAATGAAAGATCAAAACTATCAGCAACAAAGGATGTTTTTTACAGCCCGTTTTGCTCATGTTTATCAGGGGTGACAATATTTGTGGAGGGCAATGTATACAACAGAAAATTACACAAAAGCCTAAGTATAATATCAAATCTATCTGTATTTAATTTTTAAATTTCCCTTAAATTTTTAAAACCAAATGAGTTACAGCACTGTCCTCCCAACAAATAAAATAAAATATTAAAAGATAGGCCACCAAAACTGTCCCCATCAGATAAACAGTACTTAAAGCTTTCATCTTTGAGAGAGAGGAGAAAATCAAGCTCCTCTCTTACTTCTGATCTGACAAAATCCACAGGTGTTTCTGTCCATCTTTCTACTGTGAGAAGACAACTCAACACTATGAGTCTGAAACTTACTTTGAAAAGGAAATAGACAAAAAAGAGAACATTTGCCCCTAAACATAGAAACTGGACATCTGAGATGTGGGGTAAGGTTTTATGGACTGATGGTAAGTAATTAGGATTACTTGGATTGTAAGATGCAGAAAATTAAAACAAAAATCCAAGAAGTATGCAGATTTCTTTAAAAAACTGAAAGCAAGTCTCTTTAAAAGAATAGAAGCTGTAATAAAGGCAAAGGGTGGACACACTAAATACTGAACAAACCAATGCTGAAAAATCGTAAATTGCACTGTGATGGGAAATTAAATAAATGGAAGGGTGGTCTCTGACTTTTGTTCAGTACGGTACACCACGACAAAATTCTTGTGCTATTAATTCACTGAAAACATTATTGTTTTTACACTTGTATTGTAATATGGGCCTGCTTAAACACAGATGTGCTGGGAATGTTGCTTTAGTCACATCTGTGTATTCAGTGTATTCTTTAAAAATCTCAATTGTACCCAAATAATCAAACTAAATCTGCTGGCGATTCTGTGCTGCTCCCAGACTGGGCATAGTTAGGCAGCAAAAAGACAAATTTCCTTTGTAGGATCAGTAAAGTGCATAACATAAATTTGACTTTTTATGATGCATTGTATTGTTTTCTAAATAATCACAACCAAGTCTAATCCTAATCCTGAGGTCAGAGATTTACACTCCTGGTCACAAGTACTGCACTTTGACTTTCAATCTCAATGGACCGTCTGGTTTATGAATTAAATGTAGGACTTACCTTAGGAAGAGCTCGACATGGACCACAGCTGGAGCGATTTTCTCCACCACATCAGCAATGAAGTTGAATTTGTACCTCGGGCTGTTGGGGTGTGTCAGACCTATACTAGCAGGAAGAATTGTTCGTGTTAATAAGCATACACTGCTGTGGCCTTTACAGAAGGCTGATTTTTGCTCATGTTTGCTGTACTACAGTTTGGCAGTAATTAGATTAGATTGTTCTCCTGCAGTTTTAACAGGCATTAATGGCTATGCTTCATCAATTATGTTTATCAAGGAGCAGCCATTAACTGCAGCATGCAGTATTTATAGACTGAGGGGTCTTTAGTGCACAGCCAGAGGGCAAAACTATGGCAAAGTATTTTCCAAACACAGGAACTGCTCCTCTGTAATTACAACTAAAAGCAGCAAGTGGGTTCCTGGTGTGCGTGTGTACATCTGTGCCATGGGTGTGTAAAGGTAGAGTAATTAGGCCATGTTATTTTCTGCACAAACTGGGTGGTTTTTCCCCCAAAACTTACTGCTGTTTCCTGTGACCGCCTTGGCAGATGTAGCCACAATGTGTTTCTCTTAAACTCTCTCTGTCGTCTGTGTGCAATGACTAGTGGCACACTCTGGCTATGTCCTAATAACCTGAAAAACTATGATTTTAGTGACATATCCAGCTGTATACGGTTTATAGCACAAATTTACAATCACTTAATACCCTCTGTGTCATCGCCCTAGAGTTCACCTCATGTGCTGTATTTCTAACATCATGCAGCATAAACCATCTCTATCTAGGCCAAAAGAATGTTTTTTTTGTGACTTACCCATCGAGGAAAAGTAGAAAAACAACAGGAGAAACTGAGCCCTTGAACTTTGGCCAAACTATAACTGATGGGTTGCTCATTAAAAACTATCCTAACCGTGCAGTTTATCATAATCACTCACTAATCATTAATTACATCAAGCAGTCTGCATTAAGGCTGCATTCCAGAGTAACTGCATCACTCAGACATGGCTCAAGGGGAACTGCAGAGTTAAAATCTTTGTGTCATGGCCAAGTCGGTCAACCTTCCATTCCAACAGCAATGTGTATACTTTTTGAGGTCACTATATTACAGACTGAAAAGAGAACAAAATGACCCAAAAATGGCTTTGCACAGTCAGCCAAACTCTAGCCTTTTACGGAGATCTAAATATTCCATAAACTGTCCAAATTGTCCCCTCAGACTCTCCACTTTCCAGTCTGGTTTGGAGGTCAGACTAGACATTAGTGGTCATTCTGATGGTACACACTTGGCTACCATGGTGGAAAGATGTTTGGCAGTGGGATATTTGATACAGTAATGATAATGTTCAGCACAGAACTTTGAAACTTTTTGAAGTTTCAGAGTATTAAATGTACAGTAAATTATGCCTGATGAATGCCTTTCTAAGTTATGAGCCTTTCTAAGCACAGGAAGTGGGCACTCTGAAGGCTCTTTGCTGCTGTTTAGATTGGCTAATGTTCACTTCCCCACTACTCGAAGGTCCTGGAGTGATATGAATCAAAGCCTTCAAAGGAAAAGTGATCTAGGATCAGTTTATTTTCTCTTTCATATCCTAAAAACCATCATGCACAGAAAGGAAGCTGATTTTATGTCAGCATGCTTGCCATGAGGCACTTAAACATGAGAACAGTCAAAAATAACAATAAGCATTTTTAATAGAATTACCATTACTGTTTTATTTATTCATTCATTTTAAGGTCATCAAATATAAGGTATCTGTGCATTAACATTTGCAGAAAAATGTAGCTGATTACTGTCAGGTTTTGTTACAAGGATGTGTTTTTGTATTTGTGATGCCAATACTATTCTCACTTGTGTGAGCATTCAAAACAGATGGAAAGGATATGCCACACCTTTCCAGACAATAACATTCATCCTGCCATCTTTCTGCCCTATTTCTTGCAATGTGTCTGTTTGATGGTATGATTTGACCCATACTGTTGACCTAGAGGCAGTTCCCATAAAAACACACCATTTCTCACGGAAACTGATTCTAGGTCACTATTCCTGGCTCTCCTTTTGAGTGGCAAACTGTGGCACTAAATCTTGTCTGCACCTCCTGCATCCTGTCTGTCCACAATTTCCTTTTATTATTTGACCTGAGAGGAGTTTAATGGTTTATAGGCTGGTCAAAAGTTTAGAAGTTTGGTGGCAAGCTGGTCTGAAACCAGACCAAAACTACTGCTACTCAGAGTCACTAGGGAATTCATGTCTGGTCTGGAGACTACAATGCAACTCTGTTCCCTAACTGCCTCCTCATATAATGAATCTCTTGCCACCACCTGCATGTCAAGGCTGATGTCAGAGTTCTGCTGCGCTAAAAGTCCTTGGAGGCTGTTATTCTTGGTGTCTTGCTATGTAGACGTTATGGGGAAATGGCTAGTGGCTATGCACACAGTAAGCTACATTCTTAGTGATATATGAAGTTGTGGATTGGGTTTTACTGCCTGCAGTGTCAGTGGATGTCTCTGAAGCTGGTATGTGGTTGGGGGGGGGGCTGTAGGATCTAGGTCCTGTGTCCAGATGTGTGATACGCTGACTGCCTGTGAAGTCCTTACAGAATCAGACTGCCTGGATGCACAGCTTATCCCTCAAGCCCCAAGAAAAAGTCAACTTTCACAAAAATCTAAACAAACACTTGTTGCCATGGACCCATACCAGCTAAACTAACGTGACTAATTTGGTCCTGCACAGCACTGGCCTAGATATCCATTGTGGACAAGATAGCCTGTGGTTAGCAATTCAGGATTCTGTCCTGTTTTTGTCTGTGGTCCATAAGACTGTGAGTCATGGCAGTGAAATTTTGACTTTGAAAGGCTATTGCCAATACATACAATGCAAACAAAAGTAGTGCATTATTACTTGCAGGTATGTGTAATTGCACCACAAATTAAAGGGGAAATCCATCAATTCTTCAAAATGTTTGTACAGTTCAGAGATTGAGGTATAAACAAAGTCATTCAGAGTGGTTTGATGTGAAATTGTTCATTTGCAGAGTAGCTACTAACTCAGATTTCTTTACAGTGGTGTTTATAGGAACCAGGAGTCTCGATGTTTACCTTTATATAGCCTTTATTTACTATCCAAAACCACCAGCGAACCTTATCTGTGTCTTAAAAACCACCAGCAAACCTTATTTGTGTTTTCTGAGTTTTTACTTGTGATGCTGATCACGACTGGAAAATCTAAAAAAAACAAGTTTTCTTTGGGCACTAGATCATGCCTTCGATCATGCTTCATGTATCCCTACACCATAAATTGAATTAAAATAAATCTAAACAGACCAAAACTTTATCATAAATCTACTGGAAAACAGCGTCTCAGACACCAGGCAGTGTGTTTATAACCGTTTCATGTAATAACTTTTTGTGAGGGAGCTTTTAGAGGCGTTAAACTCCTCAGACGTCTGGTTCCTATCACCACCACTGTGAACTATTCTGATTGTGCAAGTTTCTCTAGAACAAAGCATTTCAAACCAAACCACTCTGAATAACTGTTCACATCTTAACCATTTAATTATGCAGAATTTTTTTAAATATCGGTGGAGTTCCCCTTTAACTGGAGACAGAATGCCCACTCTGTGGGATAAGTGAACCCCGAAGCTTGACCTACAGCTATCTTACCTTGGCTGCTTTCGCACGGCCCCTTGTGCTCGTTGGTGATGCTGGGCAGTCCCTGCTGCAGCGCCCTCCTGCTGGCGGCCTTTAGCTGGCACACGTTGCTGTACGTGTGGCCGTCGCTGCCGCACACTTCGCCGCTGTATTTGCACTCACACACGCCCTTGGCCAGGCGCTTGCCGGCCGGGTGTCTGCACTCCAGTCCGTCTCCGCAGGGCAGCAGCGGCTCCTTGCGGCCGCACGGCTCTCCCTCCGCCCGGGCGCACACCAGGCAGCAGCCGCAGCGGTCAGGCACGTAACCGGCCGGACAGCTCGGGCTCGGACACAGGCTCACATCACAGCGCGCGGGACACTTGGGCTTAGGCTCCGCGGACACGTAGCGGACACGAAGTAGAAGAAGTGCAGAGAGCAGAAGTGCATGCATGGTGTGTCTGAACAGAGGAGGTAGCAGAACAGTGAACGCAGACGAGAAACAGCCTAAATAAGGCGTTTAGATGAAGAGCATGATCTGATAGGCAGCGGTCACCGGGATGTGGAAATGCAGAGGTTCTGACCAGATTTACACTGGAGATGTGGGTGGTCTTCTCGAGCGCAGCCAGCCGGTGTTCTTCTTGCAAATAACTTTCTAGAGTAAATTCAACAAATGAGCACAGATCATATCATGATCAGAGGCTCCCGGTCCTCCAACTGCACACTATCCAGTAAAGCTCTGAATAAAAGCTGTATATCCAGGACTTTAAGGAGGTCTTTGTGTTTCCAGCGGGCTCACTCAGTCCTGGCCGGTGTGCGCACTGAACTGAGCATCAACACTGCAGGCTTTTTCTAACGGAGGCGGAGATACAGATTCTCAGCCCTCAGCTCAGTCTACAATAACATGACCCACAGACGGGCTGCGCAGGGCATGCAGCACCAGATTAGCACCGTGTGTTGTGGATTAGATGGGAAAGTTTATCAAAATCTATTCCTGCCATGCAGAGGAGAAAAAAACTGTTTGTCTTACTCTCTGGCAGCAGTTTGTGAAAATGGACTTAATATGTCAAAAATAACTTATTTTCTCAAATTTCTCTCATTATTTCTCAAAGTATCTTGATATAATGACTTATTTTTCCAAATCTTGACTTAGTATCACAAAATAATGAATTGTTTTCTCAAATATTAACTTACTCTTTTAAAATAGTGACTTTCTATGTCAAAATAATAACTTACTATGTCAAGATAAATACTATATTCAAATGCCTAATTTCCTGAAAGTTTGCTTTTGAAACAATGACTTGTGTCAAAATAATAACATACTCTGCCAAAACAATGACTTAACAACTCGCAGTAAGTCATTATTTTGAGATATGTTGACTTTGAAAAAATAAGTCATTATTTTGAGATAATAAGTCAAAATTTTCAGAAAATAAAAAGTCAAATTTTGGCCTTACTTCTGCCAGAAACGGAGTTTTTCTCCCTCTTTGCTACAGTGACAGCCTCTACTTTTCTGGGAAGGCTTACATCAGATGTTAGAACATTGCTGTGAGGATTTGATTGCATTCAGTCAAGAGAACATTAGTCATTAGTGAGGTCAGGTACAATGTAGCATTATTAGTTCAAATGGTGAACTAATTTGTCAAGTGGTGACAAACTCCACTCCAACTAATTTTAATGGTATTTGATGGAGCTCCATCACTCCAGAAAACACAGTTTCACTGCTCCACAGATCAGGGGCTTTATACCCCTATAGCTGACATTTTGGCATTATGCATGGTGACTTTAGACTCATGTGCAGCTGCTCCAGTGAATCTCACTATGTTGCAATGCTGTTAACAAACTTTCGGACATATACCGTGTGACATATTACCATATTGTGTTTTGGATGAGAGAATGTAACTGGTCCAAATTCTCTTAGAAAAAAGTTTCAGTTTAAAAAAAGCTTGTCTGCATAACCACAAGTGTTTCTTTTCTATTTTTTGAATCCATACTCACAGAAAAAATCCATATGTTAATAGTAACACCCAAGTCTTCTTTCCTTGAAACTATCCTAAACGAGGCATATGCAGTGCTGGATCTGTTGTCTTTGGCTGTTAGGCACCATGTGCAGGTTTCAGCTGTTAAGTAATTTGTTTCTGAACAGTCACAAACCCTTTTATGGTCCATCTGCAGGGCTCAAGCCACTACTACGGATGTTGCTCTTTTTTTAACATGTGTGAAGACTTGAAGTCTACACACACTTGGAATTATCACAGCGTTAGCTTTCGCTGTTTGTTTTGAGAGAGAAGAGCAGTTCAGGTCAAGCTGTAGGATTTCTGCAGCCATGAATATGTTTATTTGAAAATGTAGCGTCCATCACTTTCAGCACTTTGTGAAAACAGAACATCCCTTGTTAGACTGAAAATATGTCCACTTGATTCCAGGACATAAATTGAGCTTGGAGCCTGGGCTTAAAGCCATCTCATTCTACATGACGAGAGAATGTAGAGGCTAAACCAGGGGTGTCCAATCTTTTCCGCAAAAGGCTGCTGTGCCTGCAGGTTTTCATTCTAAACAAGCTGAAGCACACTAGACTCTACTTGTTTGATGAGTTAGTCTCAGTCTTTGGTTGGTCATGGGCGCTCCTGCTTGATTAGAATGACAACCCCCAGCCACACCAGTCCTAAGACAGATAAAACTGGACACTCCTGGGCTAAACCATTAAAGAGCACTGGATTGTACTTCATTCAAAAAGCAATCCGGGCCAAAACACTCATGATAAGTTCAGCGTGAATAGTCGGAGCTAAACTGCTGTAAATGTGAATATGTTGGTTTTTGTGGTCTCACAAACATACAGAATTCATAAACAGTCTGTTACTGCAGCTTAGTTTCCATATATGGCCCATATCAGGGCTACGTTTTGAAGCTTTGACCATGTTTACATATTACATCAAACTCTTCTATTTAAAAAAAACCTGAGGAAAAGGTTTTTTCAAGATATGGGCCCTTTTAAAAAATAGTATTTCTTCCTGAGTTATCAAAAAACAGGCACCACTAGAATTAAGTTTAGGCCAGTTATAGCATTTCATGGCCCCTTTGCTCCATCTTTGTCATGAGATACTGCATCAAAATGACTCTGCAAAAGCATTCTGAAACAGGCTTAAAGCAAAATGATAAATAATCAGTGGCCCTATGCAGTCCAACATACAGAAAGGAAGATCTCATATTTTTATAAGATCAGTTCTTATTTATATTAAAAAAAAGCCTTTCTGTCATCTGAAACAGTTAAATTTTGTCGTGTATATGGCTCTCTTACTTGAACTGCAGTTAAATGCCTTGCTCAGAAACACACTGGCAGTAGTGTACATTCTAACTGCTGTTCCACAATCAATTACATCAACACAAACAAGAGCAAATACTCAATCTGTCAGAAGAAAGTAAACATAGACCCTCAAATACAAGTACAGCAGGCCTCAGTAAAGCTCAAGTCTCTATCTTGTAGCCTGTGAGGCTGTGATTTTGTACTGAGCTGTAGTGCGGAAGCTCTGATCTGGTGCCAGGTTGATGCGACGGATATTGAGGTCAGCAGCAAAGGCCCGTGCGCGCTGGTAGAAGTGCAGGGACAGCTCACGGTCCATCAGGAAGTTGTGATATATAGTGGCCAGGCGAGTGCACAGCTCTAGCTGGGACTTCTTATTACCCAGGTCCATGGCAGCTGCCAGGGCTAGGTGGTAGTAACCTGCTGCATCATATGGATCCTGAGACAAGGAGAAAGAGTGCAAGAGGTGTTGAGCTTACAGAAGAACAGGATACTGATAACAGGATTATAGATCACACTTTATTGCTGCACCAACTCCCAAAACTTCTCAACAAAGCCAATACACTTTTCTAGATTATTCATTCAGTATGAGTGAAATGATGCTTTTAACCTCCTATTTATGTGTTCAACAATTTTGCCATTAAAGAGCCCTTATAACGAAAACCAAATTTTCTTTGCGTTTTCGAAATAAGAGTTTCATGTAGTATGCAAAGTTTCAAAATGTACCATTCACTTCCCAGTCCATAAAGCCCATAAACAGAAACTAAGCAGAAAAAGCAGACCATTTTAGAGTAGTTGTTTTTGTGATGTCACAACACTTTTACATACATCACATGGCCAAGAGTATGTGGACATCCCTCCTAATTAGAGTTCAGGTGTTTCAGCCACATTTACTGCTAACAAATGTATAAAATCAAGCACACTGCCATGTAATCTCTATTAACAAACAGTCATAGAAAAGGTCATACTGAAGAGCTCAATAACTCAGCCTCTACCCTCTATTGCATCCCTCACTACAGAGCTCCAGATCACCCCTGGAAGCAACATCATTACAAGAACTATGTGTCTGGAGCTTCATGAAATGAGTTTCCATGGCAGAGCAGCTGCACACAAGCCTAAGATCACTATACACAATGACAAGGATGCCACAGGTTCTTAGCCACCAGTTTACATGCACACTTATGCTGCCCTTTTCTGGCTGGACTATGAGCCATAAAACTTTGAACACAGTTTACAACAATATAGCATTACCCTCTTACCTTCAGATCATAGAAGATAATGTCCCCTAGTGTCTGATACACCCTGACGTAATATAGGGCTTCTTCATCAAACTGCAGGGGGGAGGGACACAGAGAAAGGGCCTTCAGGTAGTGGTGCTCTGCCATCTCAAACTGACTCAGGCAGTGGTACAGCGTAGCCAGCCGATGAAACGCCACTCGCTCGTTTAAACGATCAGCTACAAGCGACAATATGACATGACATGAAGGCAATAATGTTAGGCAGTACAAATAAAGCTACATTGTTCCAACAGTATCTGTAAGTGTACAGTATGTGCAGTCATATGTATTCAATCAATGTATGTTCAGACAGGTGTGAGACATATTGTTTCACTCATAATCTAACACACTAGGGTCTTACGTTCAGATTTTCTTTGATTAGCTGTATCATGTGTATTAGATTACGACTTTAACTGCACTGTGATGTGAGGTAGATTCTTGATTTAAAGTCTTTGATGCTGTAGACATGTTAAGCGAAAACATATATGTTCTCCTCATACAGTAAAATATCTGTCTGGTCACGTTTTTTCATGATATATTCCGCTGTGCTGGATTTTAACATATGTTTCACAGGTTCATATACTGACTGACACTAAGGCCCTGTTTAGACCTGTCTTTTTCATGACTTATATCTGGATTGTAACCTGATAAGATTTTAAACACATGCATTTACACTTTTACATGTGGATCACTCAAACCATGTCTGAGACAGATGTTTACTGCATTTAGTTTCCCAAATCAACAGCCTTCTTGCACTATGACCCAGTGAAAGCGACCTGATTGAGCAGTGATGCCTCTGTTTAGTGGTGGCAGTTCAGTAGGTGTTTTTATTCCCCATATGCAGAACAACAGAGGGAGGTGGCATCACACTACTGGGTGGGGTTTTGTTTGTCAAATGTTTTATTAAATGTTTTAATTTAAATCTGTTTTTAATGAGTTTTAGGTGCATTTACTCCCGCATTTTTGTGTGACTAATCTCTATCCAGATGTAATACTGACAACATGCATGAAACGGTCAGATGTAAATGGGGTCTAGTGTCAGCAATGCCATATTCAGCAAGAAACTGTTCAAAGTAATTGACCTGCACAACATTCTCAGCACACTGAGTATGCTGAGCATACTTGGCAGAAATGCTAAACCACTGCCACTCAATCTGGCAGAGAAAAGCCTAAAAAAATCACGCTGGAAACGACTTGTATGAAAAGGTTGATCTGTCAGTAGGACATTAATAATTAGACAGTAATTATGGAAAGGAAACATTTTACATTCTAGTAACACCTGCTGGATAAAAAGATAAGTATAGGCCTGTTACAAATATCACCTGATCGCAATTATTAGATGCACGTTCATTAGCTGGTTGAGGCAAATATATATAAATAAAAGTAAAAAAAAACACATTAACTGAGACACATTATGGGTCTTACCAAAACAACAAAAGTAACTTCTGATTGGTGCTATAACATGTTAAGAGGGCAGTGTTAAGTCATGGTTGTTTATTTGAGCTCTAGCTCTATCTGCAGCTAATCAAGAGCTACTAAGTATCAGTAGTTAGAAAGCAGAACAGCTAATAAGCCAGTTTAGGCTTGTACTTCAGTAGTTGCATACAGTGAACAAAAAAGACCACCAAACTGTTAAATGTAGTTATTTACACATCAATTAATCATCTGGTAAAATTTTATGATGACAGGCCTAAATGAGTTGCAGAAGTGTTTAACGTGTCTGTATATGAAACACACCCAGAGTGATGCTGATGTCTAATGCAGTTTGTGCATACTCCAGAGCCTCCCCATACTGTCCCAGCTGTAGCAGCAACTCAGTCAGCTTATTACACAGCCTGAGCTGAGAAGGCACACTGCCCGACTTCACCGCTATAGGGAGAGCTCGGTCCTGTCACATAAACACAGAGTCAAACAATGCTGATTATCACAATGCAGTGGTTCTCAGTTCCAGTCCTGGAGTACTACTGCTCTGCACATTTTAGACTTTCTCCTGCTCCCAACACCTGATGAACTAATTAACAAACCATTCCTGAGGTGAACTGGGTGTACAACAAGCAGCGCAGTGATACTCCAGAACCAGGACTGAGAACCACTGTCCTGATGGAGTGTTAATGAAAGTAATACTACACATTCAGTAAAAGGTTCAGTAAAAGGACTACAACCATTTAAACATTACAAATGCGTCTCCCCTTTCAAAGTATTTCTTAGGATGGTCTGTAGTGAAGAATCATGCCAACAGACTGCATGTAACAATCTTACAGGCACAAAAACAGGTTAGAAAGGTCAAAAAATGGCAGTGTAAAATTTTAATTATGACTTTTTTATAGCACATTAACCCAAACAAACATCATAAGCAGACCTCAGGGAAAAAAGGAAAGTAAAAGAAAAAAGCAGGGTATGGGTCCTTTAATAAAATTAAAGAGAGCCACAGGTTTACAGCAGACAGTTTACACGCACACTTATACTGCCCTCTTCTGGCTGCACTATGAGCCATAAAACGTTTAGGTTAGCTCACAACCAAATAGCATCACTTTGTTACCTATAGAAAATAATGTCCCTTAGTGGCTGATACACCCTGATATAGGGTATAGGGTATAGAGTGACTCAGTATAGTCGTAAACCAGGACCAGAATTGAGAAAATATAATGTAATTGAGAATAAAATAATTAAATGTAAAAAAGTCATTGGAAAATTAATGTAATATATGTAAAGTAAAATTTCGCACTTTTTTTTCATATCACTATTCATTTTCTTCACCATTCACATTTCTGGCACATTCAGTCACTAGAGGCACTTGTGACGGAACTTGTTATGAGGCTACAGTGGAAATGAATGTGAAATAAAAGTCAGCCAGTTTGATTCTGAACCTATCCTTTAAACAGGTCAAACAAGGGTCTGAGTTTTTGTCCACATTCTAACAATTAGATTGAGAATCATATGATTAGCTGAATCAGGTGTGCTGCAGCACTATGGCCCTCCAGGACTGAAGTTTGACATCCATGATTTAAAACAATGTCTTTAATAGATTATCTGATACAAAAGGAGCTAGTGCATTTCCAGAAAATGCAATTAGTCTAGAACTAAACACCGACTTACCCTGTAGAAGCAGACCGCTTTTTCTCTGTCATGTGTGCTGTTGAAGAACACGTCCCCTGATGCCTCCAGGAGCTCCAGGATGAAGGCTGTATCTCCTGTGCTCAAAGCAATGTCCTGTGCTACCTGTCATCAATCACGCAAGAAACCAGTCTAATGAGGATCAGTGTATTTCTCAGCCATGATATATCACAAATTCTCTGCTGAAGATGCTAAAGTCTCTGGCAGTACAATGAGCTGTGAATATTCATATCTCCAGGAATCGTTCACCAACATACAAGATGCTGTGTCATCCAGCCTCAGAGTCTGGTTTTATTAAGAGGTTATCATAGAAGCTTACAAATGGACTGTAAGAAATCTTGTGAGATGTGCATGTAGCACATGGAAAACACATGTTTGACCATTATGATCAATTTCTGAAATGGTGAATGAGGATCAAAATCTCCATCTCCAGTTTATGTCCTATGGTTTTTAATACCCTTCAGGTCAATCAAATGATGACTGAGAACACTGAGTAGCTCCACATAGATTTGATTTATCACTGTTGTGCAAGGCACGCTAAGGTAAATATTTTAATCTGGATCTAAACAAGGTTGAGGAGTGACAGACATTTGCAGTCCAGCATTACCTGCACATAAAGCTCCACCAGCTCACTCTGTTTAAGGATGTGGTAGATTTTTCCTGCCTGTAGCCAGCCATGGGCCTCCTTCCTCTTCTTTCCCAGATCAATAAAGATCCCTAGACTTCTTTTAGTGTAGTCCAGTGCTGTTCTATTTGCTCTAAAACAGAATCAAACATGGTCATTTTAGAGAGATATGGAGAGCTTATCTAAATTCTGTCATACGAAAAAGGCTGATAACTAATTAGAAAGGCTTTATGTACTGATGTCCTACTGAATCATTCACAGTGGACTCACTTCTCTGTGCCCAGACTCAGATACAGCTGGCTGATTTTCTCCAGTATCTCTCCTTCTAGAGTTATGTCTCCTGTCTGGTGCAGCAGGTTCAGCTGGTGCTCATTATAGATGATACACTGCGCTTCATCAGGGCAAACTTCACCATACAGGTGACACAGGCGACGGGTGGCTTGCAGCTGGCCTTAACAGAAACATGTTTTTTAAGATGAACTCATATCTGCACACTACCCACAGTGAGCAGATATGTTATTAGAAGTGTGAATCTCTGACTGCATAATGATTTCATTTTTTACCACTTACACAAAGGAAACAATTCAATGCATCAAGCAGTTTAAATTTCACCAAGATTTACCACACTAAATATGCAAATGTGACTTGAAGAATACATGTACATAGTTGTAAAACACAAAATATAGAAATATTTATATGGTTGAAAATAGCCAGAGAATTTCATTTTGGGCAAATAAAGAGCAGTGATTATTTTTTGTCAAGTATTATTGTAATCTGTAATAATTGAATCTAGGCACATACTAATGACAATAGGTCTATTCCTGTGTTTACAGCATATATCCACTGCATTTTGTCTTCATTTAGGACCTTAACATCCACTATTCTTACAGTATGTTGTTTCCAGGATTTTAGGACAAAAAAACCCTCAGTGAAAAAATTCTTATACCATTGCCTTTTCTGTGCATCAAATCATATCTCTCACAGCATGCACATTTCAGTCTGTTATTTCAGTTGGTGGCAGCACTCTCAGTTACACCCACAGTCAGCACTTGGTAGTGCGAGATTAACTGATGCAGGAGCATGAAGACCTGACTTGCTAGTTCAAGCAAAAGACCTGCTGGATAGCTTTGCCATTACTGAAGATATTTTAAATGTCCTCTTATCTAAATGTGTTAAATCACAATTTATTTGTTACAGAATTAGCGTGATGACCAAGACAACCTTACCGACTGATTTTCTTACAGGGGTGGTGATAAGGAAACAGATGTTGTGCTATCTACAATGCAAATATAGGCATTTTATTTACTATCTAAAACCACCAGTGAACCTACACGTCTTCCGAGTTTTTATATGTAAAGGTGATAATGGTAAAATAGTGGTAAATCTGAAAAAAAAGTTTTCTTTGTGGACTATTTTAAGTCACAACGTCGTGCATGTACTTCTCCACCACTAATACTTTTTAAAAATGTTTTACACCAAAACCATTTCAAAACTATCATAAAACATGCTCTCAGGCATCAGGCAGTGTGTATTTACAACCATTTCACGTAATAACTTTCTGGAATGCAACTTTTAGAGGCAAACATCTGGTTCCCATCACCACCACTGTGAGCAATTCTGACTTGGTAAGTTTTCCTAGAACTAAGCATTTCACACCAAACCACTCTGAATGACTTTGTTTACATCTTAACCATTTAATTATGCAGAAATATTGAAAAATTAAATTTAAGTTGGTGTAAGTGCTGTGATGTTATGTTTTGTCTTGTTGCCCAACCTTAAATACAGCATACACAGCCACACAGAACTCATACTTACTCTCTGAGTTATCATACAGGATGGCAGTCAGCAGGGCCCACTCATAACAGATTTTCCCTTTCTCACAGAAACCCTGCGACACAAACAGCTTGCCCAGCTCCAGAAGCACAGCCACAAAGCTCAGCTCATGGCCTTCGTCCTCTAGCTCAGAGAACAGCTCTACAGCCTGGGCGAGGTGCTCCTCAGCTAGCCTCTTAGCTTTGACCTGCAAACATAAGAAGCCAAAGTTGGCCAGGGCTACAGCCCAGTTGTGCCTGTCTTCAAACTCCTCGCAGACCTCAGCTGCAGCCTGGAAACTCTCTGCAGCCTGTTTGACATTGCCGGCGTGCCTCAGAGCGATGGCACGCATGTTGTAAACCACCCCCTCCAGCTGTGTGGTGCAGTGCTCAGGGAGAGTGGACAGAACTGCATCCAGCACATCCAGGGCAGCACGGTGCTGCAGGCCACAGATAAGCAGCCAGGCCAGCCATATGAGGGCAGCACTGGTGTCTTGTTGGCTGAGGCTGGAAGCGGACGTATGCTCGAGGAGGCTGCACATGTAGTGAACTGCTCTGTTAGGCATGCCATGCTTCTGATAAAGCCAAGACAGACAAAGGGCATGGGCATGAGCCAGGCTAGGTTCCATGCCATTGTATGCTAAAGCAGCAGCTCGTGTCAAACATGGAGCCACTTGTGTTGGGATGTCGATTCCATACAACTCTTGAGCGTTCTCCAACAGAAGAGAGATGCTGCAAAGACAGTCAGCGACTGCAGAAGACACCTGTGTAAATGGAAGAATGAATGATTTAGTGAATTAACGAATGGTGGACTTGCTGTTTTTATTTACACTACACTTCAAAAGTTCTTCTTTTGAAATGGTCTCATTTATCATTGTTATTTTCTCACTGTGGTCTTTCAATTAATCAAGAAAAATAGCCTACAATATTTTGCTAACATAAAAAACTTTTTTGAAATGGGGCTGCATGATCAGAATCAGCCAAGATCACAACTGGCAGATTGTTGCTGTAAACATGCAACAGGCAATCATCCAATTAATTATTTTTTATTTTGGCCAATCTGTGCTGCAATTTTATGACATAATAATGTTAATGCAAGTGCACTCATGCTTTATCTGAATGCTGCTGCTACACCTGTACCAAAATGTCACATCATAGTTATGCACAAGTCACTGTGCTAAATAGCCAGTTGCCTTTTACTGTTGATGCAGTGCTTTATTTGATTCTTGTTATTTAAGTGGGCAACTGATTTTTCATTTATAAACTTAAATTTCATTAAAGAGAAAATAATATTATTTATTCTGAGACTTTGGCTACCACAAGGCACAGGAAATGTGCCAATGTGTTTCATGTGGTCACAGTGTGAGCTTCGACTTTAAAAAAGGTCAAAAAGCAGCCAAACACAACGCCCCATGGCCAATTTTGCTGTAAAGAAATGTGAACTGGAATTGGCCATAAAAATGAATGATCGGTGCATCTCTAGTTAAAATCTTTCAGACTAAAAGTGGTTCAAACACCTTACAGACTTAGAGTGTGGATGAGAGCTGACATCACAAGAGGGGGATAAAATGTGTGGGCTTTGGAATTATTGCCACAAATATCTACATTTGGTGATGTTTTCCTAGAAATAAACCTGGTTAGCATTTGGTAATATATTAAGTTTTGACAAACTGATAAAGAAAACAAGCTCAGTAGGGAACATGAATTCGCCAAACATGACTTTTTATGGCCGATTTTGATTCCTTTACGGCCAAATTGGCCAATGTTAGCTTTTTTATTTCCAGTACACGCTATTAGGCAAAATCCCAATAGTGATAGCATTATTTGCTCATTAACGGGCCAAAATTTTAAATTCTTGAATGAAAATTCTAATAAAGCAATACATATAAAGTAAATAGCGACTTAGCATAATGACTCATGCATAGTTATGCTATGACATTTTGGTAGATGAACCAACAGCATTCAAATACAGTGCAAGTGCACATACCTGCCTCACGTTATTTTCTTCATAAAACTGCAACACAGATTGGCCAAAAACAAAATTGGCCAATTTGCTGATTGCATGTTTGGAGCACAAATCTGCCCTTTCCTGATCTTGGCACCCCTGATGCACATTTGCATTTAGAACATGCTGAAAAGCTAGTTGTCCCTCAACTTTCAAAGGCAGACTGTTTCACTAAACACACAGTGTACCTCACAGATAATGGGTTCAGCATTGTGGAGGCCAGGAGCCATCACGTCTAGTCCTGGAGTCTGGAGTCCAGCACAGTTTAATGTTCTCTCTTCTTAAACACACCTGATTCAACTCATCAGTTAATTACCAGGTTAGGTTGGTGTGTTAGAGGAGGAAAATCACTAAAATCTGCTGAACTTTGGCCCTCCAGGAGCAGAACTGATGATACCTGGTGTAAACCTACCTGAAGACATGCATGCCTTGCTGAGCTGTCAGCCAGGTGAGGAAGATGATGATCATTATAAAGCCTGGCTAAGAGTAAAAAACCATGGCTACATATTGTGTTGCAGACTCCTGGCATCTCATCAGCCAAGATCAGCAGCCGCTCAATGAAAGGCACTGCGCTCATGCCCTCTCCGAGCTTCAGATGGAGCTTGGCTAAGAGGAGGCAGAGCCGGGCCTCTGCAGGCTTGTTCTGAGACAAAATTGCCTTTTTCAATGCAAATTTTAACACCTCAGGTTCTTCTGAGCCAGATAAGCAGTCACAGACTGCCATCAATAAAGCAGCAAAGCGTTCAGACAGAGTGAAATACTTCTCCATGTTCTTCTGTGTGAGATAGATGAGGGCCAGGTTGGAATAGAGGGCAGAGAGAAGGGGCATGTCTGAGAAATAGTCTCGGGGTACACTTAAGGCTTCTTCGTAATAGACTCGAGCCTGAGAGAACTTTGACCTGCCTGCACACAGTTGTCCAAGTAGGAAGCAGATTCTGCTCTGTGCCCATGACATCCGCTTCTTTCTTGCTGTTTCTCGAGCTGCACCTAGATAGGCCACCAGCTCCTCTTCATCAGAATGACCCTCAAAGTGTAACAGGAGGAATTCTGGGTAGGCGCTGTAGAGCAGCTGAAACTCTGGCTGATGGTCACAGCTGCCTAGGAAGGAGAGGAGGGAGTGGTGTCCATCTGGGCTGGTACCATCCTTCTCTGAACACACAGTGAAATGTGGGATTTCCTGCGGTGACTCTGTCTCTGTGGACTCTGAATCTGTCTGAAGCTCAGAACTGTCCAGTGCAATCTCATCTCTGTTTGGATCCTTCATCTCTCTCAAAAGAGGGGTGATTTTCCTTTTCAGGTCTATATACACTTCAATGCGATCTGCATTGTCTGCAATGGGACCGTCTAAAGAAAATAAATGGAGAAAAACAGATTATACGCACACTTTAAACTACATAGGCTATTATTACACATATTTTATAATTTGTTATAACTTATTAATCAGGACCAACACAGAAATGTTACCTACTTTGAACTGATTCTGGCTTTACCAAATCTGTAATAAACAACAAAAAAGATGAACAACTACTTAAACAAACAAACATCTCAAAATTATCTTGACTTTGCTAAATCTGTCTTAAAACTCACTTAATTTACAGGGCCCATACTGCATATTACTCTTCCACTGAGCTCCAGTCATAATTCATTTTCACATGACAATTTTCCAGCCCTTCTTTATCTTCTAAACAATCCGTTTTTGGTGCCTTTAAGAATGATATATGCAAATATCCTCTGCTCTGATTGGCTGCCCTGTATTGCGCCTCTTTCAAAATGCACTCCAGGCTTAAACAGTCCATATCACCTCAGAGTGAATTGGCGGAGCTACCGGCTGAATGATATTTGTGTAAATATGTTGGTTTTCATGACATAAATTCAAACCAGCAGCTTAGTTTTCATAGATGGACTGTATCGACTGGGACGCGAACGGTTTTGAAACTTCAGCAATGTTTATACAGTGCATCAAGCTCTTCAGAAAAAGGGGGAAAATCGGTTTTCCATTATACAGGCCCCTTAAGACATAAATTCGTTTTTGGCTTTTTTTTAAAAAATGTCTTAATAATATGTAGATTATGAGACCCATTTAATCATATGAAAGCAGGCTTTTCTGGAGTCGACCCCGACTCTCGACTCAGTTTTAACCAAAACAGCACGACAGCCGCTGGGGCGCTGCAGAGCCATACAGTGGAAATTAAACCACCTTAAACGTCGTTTACTTGACCCACTTTTTAGAGTTGCTAAAGACATAGCTAACGATACGACGAAAATCCCTGTTTCCAAATTGTATCAGGCGAAATCAAGTTAATTAACGGTTGTTATGCGCAAGCAAGCTAGCCGGCAGCTGCATGCTAATGCTACTCAAACTCCTGCCTGCATTTGCGCATCCAGAACCAAACACAGTGGAAAAACATGGAGAGCCGAATCCAGGCACGGTTGGCTCGGCTCTCGGCGACGCTGACCAAGAGTCGATCCCGATTCCGAAACGCTCTGGACTCGACTCTTCTGGACTCGACTATTGTGGAGTCGACTCTTCACATCACTGTTTACAGCTGTAGCTAACGGGCGTGTGTGACGCATAATGGCCTTGTAAGGTACATTAACTCGGTAGGTTAACTAACTTACAGATGCCAAGGATTTATGTGAGATTTGATTTTGTATCCACTTTCACTCAAGTTAATAGTAACAAATAAAGAACATACAGAACTGAAATGTAGTTAGAGCCGATATAAAGCATTAAGTTAACGTCTGATGTTAGCTAAGCACCCTGACGAGTATGCTCACTTCTCAGTCTACATTCCGCTAACGTTGGTTTGTTTGGACTAAAATATGTCTTGAGGGAACTTTGTTTCACGAAACCTTATTTCGACAGCTTGCTTGCATAAAACAGGGGAGACAGATAGCTAATGGCGTCTAAAAAGAGAAAGTCGTCCAAGGCCTCAGCATCTCAACCGAAAGCCCCACTTCGTCGCTGGGAAGAGGCGCACGGTAAAAGCTCAGCACAGCAGTTCACATGGGAGTAGCAGGTTAGGCTAATTCAAAGGGACACTCCAGCCAAAATGAGACATTCAGCCATGGTTGTATCTGTTGTAAACATGTCCGCTCGCATCCTACAGCAATCTGTAGAGCAGTGGATTTCAACTCCAGTCCTGGGGACCTCTTTTCAACCTTATCAAGTTTTAACTATTGTCCAACAAAACACCTGATCCAGCTCATCATTAAATGATCGTAGTCTTCACGAGCTGGATCAGGTGTGTTGGGTCAGAGTACATCTAAAACTGTGCAGGGCAGTGGGTCCCCATGACTACAGATTTTCTAGTTTAAAAATAAGGACTAGAGCTCAGAGAGGTAATGTTATCGCTAAGAAGGCAAAATTATCTTAGTGCAGCCATATAACTGTAGTAACTCTCTTTTAACCAACACTACAATGGAGAGAATGGACAGAAATGACTTGTTAGATGAGGAGGACACATTAACAGCTAAAGTTATATAAACATTTACATTTTTAAAGTTACAAATAGATGTTTTAAGTTAAGTTTTAGGTGTAGGCTGGAGTGCCCCTTTCGTTTACAGAACCACCTGGAATAGCACAAAAACTCTTTGTTAGTCTGCACTGAATAACCCGCTGAGTTTAACTTGTAAACATCTTGGATCATAGATGAAGATTACTGTAACCCTGAAAAACTGCTTGTGTGCCCCTACGACCCAAACCATCAAATCCGGGCGTGTCGCTTTCCATACCATCTCATCAAGTGCAGGAAGGTTTGTATCAGTCATGTTTAAAGTCCCAGGGAACACAATGTAAAATATTTTAACTGTTTGTATGATACTAAAATGTTTTTATTCATAGTTTGAATAAAAAAGTCAAGATGGTAATAAAGTTCAACACAACTTAAAGATCGCTTATGAGACCAATCTGAGAACTGTCTGGGCGTGGTCCTGATATCCCGAGGAGCAAGCTTGATTGTCTGTTCTTTTACATAAGAACAAACTGCTCTCACCTGGTTTATGCTAGTTTTAAAAAAGTACACCTAAGGGTGGCACAAATATAACATCACAATATTTATTGCATTGCAGTATTTAGTTTTTCTGAGGTTTGATAAGCTAGAACTGTCAAAAAATAACTAGTAGTGCCACATTTAAAACATACTATCAAAAACAATACGATTTTTATGTAATGTCTTGCCAATTATGCTCTCTTTTTAATGAAATGTGCTGTTGGTAGACTCAGAAAAGCACACTATAATGTATCATGATAACGATAAATATCTCATATAATCATCACATAATCTAACCACCCCTACTACTTTTAAGTCTTTACTTTCTGAAGCATTATTCTTGACTGTTGTAATGTCACCCCCCTGAGTCACTTCATTAAATCACCTCCTTGTTTCTACACTAATTGTCCCATTTTATCAGCTCCACTTACCATACAGAGCAGGTATTATTTGAGTGGTTGATCATTCTCAGTACTGTAATGACACTGACACAGTGGTGGTGTGTTAATGTGTTGTACTGGTACAAGTGGATCAAACACAGCAGTGCTGCTGGAGTTTTTAAACACTGTGTTCACGCACTGTCCACTCTATTGGACACACCTTGTAGATGTAAAGTCAGAGACGGGTGGTGTTAGTCATCTAGCTAGACTTTCCTCAGTGGTCACAGGACGCTGCCCACAGGACAGGACTGTTGGCTGGATATTTTTGGTTGGTGGACTGTTCTCAGCCCAGCAGTGACACTGACATGGTGGTGGTGTGTTAACACCTCAGTGTCACTGCAGTGCTGAGAATAATCCGTCATCCAAATAATATCCATTCTGTGGTGGTCCTGTGGTGACCATTGAAGAACAGTAGGCTAACAAAGTATGCAGAGAAACAGATGGACTACCGTCTGTAATTGTAGAACTACAAAGTACATGTATATGGTAAGTGGAGCTGATAAAATGGACGAGTGTAGAAACAAGAAGGCGGTTTTTAATGAAGTGGCCAGTCAGTGTAAATACAAAGCATGAAAGATGTATTTTTCAGTAATGTTGTTTTTCAGAACCATCCTGAGCTGGCCAGTCAACTATGGACGTGCCCGTTTAATGCCCGTCACCTCATGCCCAGGCACGAGCTATCCCATCACATGTCTAACTGTGTGGACAGGTGTTCCGTTAATACTGACTATGGTAGGTGGCTGACGAGCAGTAGATTAATGTACATGTGGGAAACTGAAATAGATCTCCAACATAGAAGCCATTATTTATGTTAGCTATTTAAAGCATACTTACTTGATTTCATTGCAAGAGTAATAAACTGGTTTAGCTAATTTTGTATGTATTGTAGTGGAAAGTGCTGAGAGCCAGCACAGATTTCAAGTTCCTGTCAACACCTGGACAATTCCTGTGTGTGATGAAGACTGGGACCAAGGTCAGCTTTTGTTTTTCTAATACTTACATTTCCTCTCCTCTCTCCCTCATTTCCTAGCCCTGTACTCTGTCGTTAACATATATTATTCAGAAAATGAATTTTTTTTTTTTTTCCATTGGGATGATTTTTGGATTAAAGCTACGCTATGTTAGTTTTGGGAATTTGGTATCAGTAGAAATGTGTAATTGCATTTCCAAAAAAGTTGGGACACTGTGCAAAATGTAAATAAAAACAAAATGCAATGATGTGCAAATCACTTAAACCCTATATTTAGTTGAAAATAGTACAACATGTCAAATTTTGAAACTGAGAATTTTTTTTTTTTTGAAAATTATATGCTCATTTTGAATTTGATGCCAGCAACACAAAAACTTTGGAACGGGGGCATGTTTACCACTGTGTTTCATCACCTCTTCTTTTAACAACACTCTGTAAGTGTTTGGAAACTGAGGAGACCAATTGCTGTAGTTTTGAATATGAAGTGTTTTCCATTCTGCATTCTGATTTTGAGCTGCTCAGCAGTTTGGGGTCTCATTTGTTGTTTTTCATTCCATAACCCTCCAAATGTCTGGACTGCAGGAAGGCAAGTTTAGCACCTGGACTCTTTTAATGCAGAGCAGTGCTGTTGTAATACACGCAGAATGTGGTTTGGCATTGTCTTGCTAAAATAAGCAAGGCCTTAACCTGAAAAAGGTGTCGTCTGTATGGCAGCATATGTTGCCAAAACATGTATATATCATTCAGCATTAATGGTGCCTTCACAGATGTGCACGTCACCCATGCCATGTGCACTAATGCACCCCTATACCATCATGAATGCTGGCTTTTGAACTGTGCACTGATAACAAGCTGAGTGGTCTTTATCCTGGAGGACACAGTGTCCATGATTTCCAAAAAGAAGCTCAGACCCAGAGAAGGTGGCAGCGTTTCTGGATCTTGTTTATATATGGTTTCTTCTTTGCATTTTAGAGTTTTAACTTGCATTTGTGGATGCAGCGACAAACTGTTTTCACAGACATTGGTTTTCAGAAGTGTTTCTGAGCCCATGCAGTGATTTCCTGTACAGAATCTTGTCTGTTTTAATGCAGTGCCACCTGAGGGCCCAGAGATCGTGGCCAGCCAATACTGGTTTTTGGTCTTGTCCCTTGCATACAGAGATTTCTCCATGTTCTCTGAATCTTTTAATGTTATTATGTACCGTAGATGATGAAAAGCAAAAGTTCTTTGCTGTTTTATGTTGAGAAACGTTATTCTTGAACTGTTGCACTATTTGCTCGTGCAGTCTTTCACAGAGTGGTGAACCCCTCCCCATCTTTACTTCTGAAAGACTCTCTGGGATGCTTTTTATACCCAATCATGTTACTGACCTGTTGCCAATTAACCACCTTTTTTTTTTTTAGCATTACACGACTTTACCAGCTTTTTGTTGCCCCCGTCCCAACTTTTTGGGAATGTGTTGTTGGCATCAAATTCAAAATGGGCATACATTTTTCAAAAAACAAAAACATATCTCAGTTTTAACATTTTGATATGTTGTCTTTGTATTATTTTCGATGAAAATGATTTGCACATCATTGCATTTTGCTTTTATTTACATTTTGCACAGTGTCCCAACGTTTTTGGAAATGGGGTTGTATTATAAAACATAATAAAATAATTACAGTCCAGTACTCTCAAAAATACAGTGATGTAATTCTGTGAGCATTAACTAATGAACTCTTCTATGCATCACAGAGGAGGAGGAGACAGCAGCACCAGCAGCACCTTTTGTATGGGGACTGTCAACCTCGCAACTCAGCCAAGATAGGTTAGTTATTTACTGTTGTGATATTAGTCTGTTAGGTTCAGATTGTTAGACTGTAAAAGAGTGAATGTCTAGAGATACTGACTACTGTGCTCTGTTTGATAATGATCAATAATTGCCTTCCTGTAGAACATTTTTAAAGTGCTGATAACACTTTTTTTCTTGCTCAGGACTGAACAAGCTGTGACTAACCGTTTGACCTCCAGTCTCAGAGCACCAAGAGTTCTGCCCTGGAAACTGGACAAGTGAAGGATGAGTTCTTGCCTCTAAAGCACTATATTTTGAACCTGTGCTCCTTCCTGTTAGTACAGTCAGTGGTTTCAGAGTTTTGTTTTACTTTAAAAGCACTCTGTAAATGTTTTAATGAATGGCTGTTGTTTTGTAATATACTTCCATTAGATTAAGTAGACCAGTAAGTTTGAATTAAGAATTACATTGAAAATGTTCAAAGGTGTGTCAGTTAAGTAAGTTTGAGTTTGGCTTGTGTTTTTGTTAAACAAAAGACTAGGATGCAAGCAGGATATAGGACAAGTTAACTGTGACGTTTAGTACATTGTTATGGGCTGACTTTGTGTTTGCAAGTGCCAAGGTGTTTTTGTAGTTCTTTGTTTTCAGTTTATCAGGTTTAGAAAATAAAATCTGTATGTTAATCCTTCTTGACTCTGTCACCTGAAGCCTTACTGTTGGCTTTAGGAGCATTTAGAGGTACTGGCCATTGTTGAAGTGATTGAGTATAATGATATTGGATGTTTAATCTTCTGTGCAGGTTAAGCTTAAATAATGACATTCTTAGGACACAAACACAGTGAGACAGCTTACCAAGTCTGTAGACTGTAGCAACATCACTTTGGCATGTTTTCTTCAAAAAGGCAATGGTTTCCTCCTTAATCTTCTCTTGTTCCAAGTTAAAGATTTTTCTGTCCTCTTCTTTCAAAAAGATCTCATCTGATCTGTCATAAAAATAGAGCACACTGAGGCCAGTATTTTAAAGTAAATTTAAAACATAAAGAATGTTTTATGGATGTTCATTGGATATGAATAGGTGGGTGACAAATTAAAGGAAAAGCTGAATAAAGCATTACAGGTGCAGACGCTTCAAGTCAAATGTACTGCATGATACAATTAAGCATTTAACATCCGACTATGTTCTGTGGCATGTATAAAAACGCTGAGCAGGCCCCTTGATTTTAGATCAAGGCCGCAAAAGGAAAAGATCTAACTAATTATGAAAGAGGGTTTGTTATTGGGGGCACAGATTGCAGGAGCTTCAGTCACAAAGGCTGCTCAACTGGCTAGTGTCTCAGTAGGGACTGTGACAAAAGTGACATCTGCGTTTAGGTCTATGAGAAAGACATTAGTAAATGCGGTTGGAAATTGTGGTCAAAGCATACATTCAGTGACCCTAATGCTTGTACGTTAGTGCAGTAAGGAAAAACACAAAAGCAACTGTTCCTCAGGTGCCAACACCTACGGAGATGTGGAAAAGTAATATGGTTAGATAAGTCATCCTTCACCATATTCTTCACAAGTAAGCAGAGTGTATGCTGCCACGCTAATGAGAAATTGCCTCGAGTTGGCTGTGAATGAGTCTGATGGCACAGTGATGTTTTGTCGATGCTGGTTGCACACAAAGTCATTGGTCATTTTTAAACTTTTGCCTTGGGATATTCCTGCTAGGAATACGCTGTGCAGCTTTACCTTGCTTTAAGCACAAGCAAACACAAATCACAACCACTTCCCCAATATGGGTGGAGACGTAGGCTAACAAAACGGAGGCAAACAAACTCAACATTTGCTACCAGTGGCTGTATATGCCTACCTGACTCTGACAAAACAGAATTGTGAGGTAGAGAGACTGTATTGTCTTACCCTTGTACATTATTGCCTGGTTTTAATTTCAGTGCACAGTGTTTTGCAAGTTAGCAAAGCTGCTCTTGCAAAGTGTGTTTGTTCGGTACTTGAATGTGCAGGGTGTTGTTTTGAGTGAAACAGCTTTATTGATAATTGTAGACAGAGCTGTCTGTAGGGGCTTAGCATGTCAATCATACCGAGCACTTTCATTCAGCATCAGCATATAAATAGTAGGCTTTGGTCAACATACTGATATGTTAAAAATATGGCTTTTCAAACATACATTGTGAGTTGTCACCAAAGAAAAGAATTTCTAAAATCACCCAGTGTATGCCTGACTTCAACTACAGCTCAGCCAGCTAACCAGCCAAAAATACTCCAACAAGACGTAAAACTCAGAGGTGAGCTCCTCAGATATGTTAGCCTTGGATGTGATTCCTGCTGTTGCTGTGCTACAGAGACTGTTGTTGAAAGAGACAGAAGAGGATCAAAACTATGAAACTTACTTTACTTACAGCAGTACAGAAGTGCTTTTCTTACATGGAACAAAACCCGCTCTTCCCCACTCCAACACTACTCAATCTAAAGTGATAACGTAACCTCATGCACATCATTTTAAATCAGCTAGATATTCATGATTTAACTGTTAGGGTACATTGCTCTCATATACACTAAAAACTAATTCTACGAATGTTACTGATTATGGTATCGGTATTGGCAAGTACTAAAAATATGTTCTCACACTTGGTCTGAAAAAATGGTATTGATGGAGCCCTAGTTTGATAAGTATGAAAATGATGTATTTATTAACCCAATTGAACACCTATGGGAGATTTTGAACTGACTGTTAGTTGAATGTTAGTGCTCTCCAAAGCCATCATCAAAAACCCAATTGAGGGAATATCTTTTGATGTTCTATCTTTCCAGTACTGTTCCATAGACTTCTGTGCTGTTCTGGTGGTAGCCCAACACCTTGACAGGGCACTGTTTTCCTTTAATTTCTCACCCCTCTGTATGTGCTGTTGAATGTATAAAGGTGCCCTTTTGTATGCTTGTTAAACCCAAAAGATGAAAACCAAGATCAGCACACCCATATCAAATGAGGCATGCCCCAATTTTCATGCATTTTAACAGTGAGTGTATACTTGCTTTACTATAATGTTTGAAAAAATGAATCCAAACAACACAGTAGTATCCTTCAACATGCAGGCACTTACTCACAAAGAGAATCAGTTGCTTTCACCAGGCTTGTCTTGACGAGTCCCGTATCACCAGTCCTCTCCAACTTGCCCATGAACCACTCAAAGCAGTTTACTAGTAGGCCCAGGATGATGATGTGATCTCCAGCCTCAAAACTCAGCTCATCTGGTCCATTACCATCATATGCTTCGACTGCCTCACAGGAACCTACAGCTGATATAGTACATATCACTTTTTTTCAGATGATTAAGAGACAAAAATGATTTTTTCCTTCATTCTGTGCATTATGTGCCACTGTCCATTCTAGACATAATCCCTGCTTACCAATTTGAAATGGAAGATCACAGCATGCCTTTCCACTGCCAACCAAAACACTCTCAGGACAGGACTTAAGAAACCACCTTCATGGGAAATGAGAACAGAGGTATAAAATGATTCAGTGTGCAATGTGTCAATATTTACAGAGCAACATCTTAATCCCACTCACTCATGAAAAGGAATGACTGGTTCCAGGGCTGGCTTAGGTTTAGTTCCTCTTGATCCATCTGCCAAGGACAACACTGTCCACCCTGAGCCTAGGAATGGAGGCTCAAAAAGAGCAATGTCCCCCTTCTCCAGGTAAAGGTCACTGCCAGATGTTGAGCTATCAAACATCTGATTAACCGTACAGCTTCCAAAAAATGAACCTGAAATTTAATCCAAAATGCATTATTCTGTTATCAACATTCATTCAGTCAATTGGGCCTGTAGAGGCCTAGGATATCCCTTATTACCTTCTTGCATTAGAAAGCCTTTGTACATTAAGTTAAGGTTCTCCTCTTTAATTGACACCTCAATCCCTGAGTCTTCATGGTCTAAAGTGTTCAACCAGAACTCCTGGTCCAACAGAAGATTCTCCAAAGACTGACGCAGGAAACCTGGAGAATGTTCCATAAAACTGACAATGATATTTAAGAATCAAAATACTCACAGTAGTTTCGTCTTATCAGTTACACAGTTAGGTTTTTATAAGGTTTTAGTGGGTGTGTAGTTAAGTCATATCATAGTGTTTGATGACAGAATGAGAAAATACAAACCCATTTTGTTATAGGTGGTGAACTTCCATATTTCTTCAAATGTTTTAAAAGTGATAAATATAGTCCTTTCCTCACTGCTGATGGACACCAAATGAGCTGAGAATTCCTTAAACACAGGAAAGAGACCGTAAATCTACTTGAAGCTGTGTGTTACAGTAAGAATTAAGTTTTACAGGAAATACTGTAGCTCTTTAAGTGTTCTTCACTTTAACCCCTAAAACCCCTAGCCTAGTGTATTCTAAGGCTTGTTTTTCAGTACTTCCATGGAAAGCAATGCAAACTGATGGAGTTATTCTTACATTATAGGAGTGAGAATGGAAGTCTGAACCCACCAGCCATTTAAATTAGGTCATAATTGTAACTTGGTTATTTAAACAGTTCCTTTTATTCTGAGAGAGTGAATAAGTCAGTTATAATGTATGTACGCTATACTGTAAAGCATACAGCAATCAGGGTCGTGATTTTTGTGAGGTCAGCCTCCAGCACACGCAGTTTCCCGCAGAGGACTTCCTGTGTGTTCTTGTCAGCAGGAAGCCGGTCCGGTCCTTCTGCCACAGCCAGCTGGAGGGCCAACACTGCAACAGGAAACGACTGAAAGTTAACACACCATGCTTTCTGTCTCTCCCATCCAGCAACAACAAAATTGCCTTCATATGGAAAACAAATCCATGTAGCTTTGTTTGTGTGCATATTAGCTGTTTATGGAAAACTCCATTTGTCCAGTTTGCAGCATAAAGTATACAGCTGCACCTGTGTATCTCATCTCTATCATTTTTTCATTTATGAAAGCACACAGACTGCTGGATCACTGCCTGGTTGAACAAGCCAGCTCATATGGGCCACATAAACTCTTAATTCATGACCGATTGGGGCCGAGACATCACTCTAATCATGTGATGTTGCAGTACTGTGACGGAAGGGGTTAATAAGTGACAGCTGATGAGATGTGTAAAGTTCAAGGTGTTTTCAGATACTCTCTTTCTGACCATTGTTTCTTTTCTAAACCTGGCAAGTACTATTTTGGTCCATATCATGGGTTGTTTTTAGTGTCAACAAATCACAGAGACAAAGATTGTGACTTCGGTTAGTTCCAGTTTTAAATGAAAACATTTACACTGAGGTCTCTTTAACTGGATTTCTGCCCATAACCTCCTGTTTTGTGATTTGAAAACTTGAAACTTGAATTAAACAGTGGTTCATTTTGAGCGACAGCAACTTCATTATCAGTAAATCTTCTTTTTTCCTTTTGCTGTGTATGTTTTAGTTATAGGCCAATATAATGTCACACTGCACTCTTAGAAATGGTGCCGCAAAGGTTTTTATACTGTTTGTTTTACTACTTACACTTTATATGCAAAAGTTTGGAGACATCTGCTCATCCAATCCAAATCTTTAAGATATAAAGAACCTTCATAATAAAAAGGTTCTATGCACGTATAAAAGTTCTTCCTAGAACTTTTACATTATAAGGAAGTTCTTTCAATCTTTAAAAGGTTCTTCACAGTCAGAGTCCTTAGTTACAAAAATGGTTCTCTAAAGAACCATCCACTAAAAGTTTTCTAAGGGAAACAAATGTGGCTCTTCAGTGGCATCACTCAAAGAACGCTTTTTGGCACCTTTTTTGAGAGTTTGTGGGTTACCATGATCGTAAACAAGTTTATCTAATGGATTGTACTTGGTCTGAAGTCATTTGAGTAGGTGGTACAGGAAGCTGATGTGGAACTGCATTTGTGAGGTGGCCTGTGGGGTCACCTGTCTCATGAGGTTGGCATTAGTTACCTGTGGGAACAATGTCTTCAGAAGCTGCTGAGCTCCATTTGAAACTCTCTATTCCTCTCGATGGTTTATTTTCTGAAAGGTAAATACATCTACATAGTCACCACAATGTCTGTATTCACTGCTACTGTCTGAACATATGCATTTGGCAGTACTTTTTTTAAATATGAGTTTGCAGGCTATGAGGCAGACATTGCAGGCGATTTATGAATGAAACTGATGATAATAGACTTGCAGTGTTCACCTGAGGATACACAGTGCTGTGCTATTTGCCTTGGCAGGAAGTATTTTCCCCCCTGTTAACTAACTATATAACAGTAGAGTAAATACAAGTAAACCCAAATACAGTCTAATAAAACAATATCATTTGCTTAATTAAATCAGAAGCACACCTGATTATAAGAAAATGTAATGAAGGACTAACTGGCTGAACCAGGTATTGGATGGTGATTGTAAATGCTAGGCTTTGAAATGATTAAGCTCATCATTTGTTTTAAACACTTGTTTCATTATTTATATTTATGTTAATGTTAGTGTCTTTATACAAATAAGCGCTTACTGACCTGGTAAATAGCTTTACATAGACTTTTTTGTCTAAGACTTTTGCACAGTACTGTGTAGACTGTAAGCCTGTGAAATAACCCTCTATCACTGACCCTGATGTTCTAAACATTGTACCTCGTCATTGTACTACTATAGCCTACAATAAAGGTTCCCACCGTCATTTTCTTTCGCCGGTAATAGTATAATAATATGTCGGTGTGACTTACCCGTGTCCATGATTTTGGAGGTGTCTTTATTCACCCCCGAATCATTGCTTGAGCACTCGGTCGAAAGCTCGGAGTCCACTGTGCTCACCGTGTTGCTTTCATCAGCAGTTGACATCTTGTCAAAAGTTGCTGTGCTTCCCCCGGGCGTTAGTTTTTTTCTCCCACCCGTATTCCGACAAGCTCCGCCTCCTGCGCAAGGATTGGCTAGTAGCTCGTACTAACAACACTATATATCCGAAGGTTTGTAGACATATCCAGCGTTTCTTTTACACATCAGCGGTTTTCATAGGGAGTGTGTCCTCTCTTTCCTTCAGTAACAGCCTCTACTCTTCTGAGAAGGCTTTACACTGGGTGTTGGAACCTTGCTGTGAGGATTTGATTGCGTTTAGCCACGAGAGCATCAGTGAGATCAGGTACTGATGCTGGGTGATTAGCTCTGGATCAAAGGTTTTGGATTGAGCTCTATTACTCCAGAGAACGCAGTTCCACTGTTCCACATCCCTATGTTGGGGGGCTTTATATCACTGGCCATGGTGACCTATGGGTGCTATATAAAATAGTTGAATTTACAAGGGTGTCTCAATATTTGTGGACATATAATGTAAAGTAGCGGGTGGTTTTCTGAACTAGCCAATCACGGCGCAGGAGGCGGGCATTTGTCGGAATACGGGTGGGAAGAAATAACACCACATACGAATACTGCGTCTGCATGTCACGAGTTATGCGTGCTGCTTATGCTAATAAAGGTGTTCAGGTAGCGAAACTAGTTAGAATGATCTTCTCCAGACCACGTTTGCCATGTTTTACCCAAATCAAAGAGTTATTGTTTATGAAATGTCTTGTTTTTCTCTTGATAAAAGAGCAAAAACCAGACGATAAAGATGTGCAAGCCAAGATAATGAAAGTCCATCCAAGCCGAGAGTGAATCTTAGCCTACTTTATAAAAAAAACAAATGTAACTCGAGCTTCTGGCAAAAGTCTCTGGCATTACTAAACGTGGCCATTTGAAAAGATCTGACCTTGGCTTGGTGTATTGGCAAGTTAATAATCTGTAAAGTGAGCAAACATCAGATTTAAAGACACAAAGGCGTTTTCACGTCGTGAGCCGCCAGCCCAACACTGATGACCTGGCGGTTTTAAACATGATAGCACTCTGTTATGCCCACAGCAGTCTCCCCCAAGGAACAGTGTCAGCATTTCCTCTTCCTTTTCTGGTTGTTCTTGAGCCAGAAGAATTTAAGGATGTTCAGAAAAATCCCCACAACTAAAAAGTGAAAAGCAATTTTCTGCTTATCCTAGTGATACAAAATAAAACTTATGTAGGTGAAAAAAAAATAAAAATAAAAAAAACTGAAGGTTACCTTCCAAAACATGGCTAGACATCTTGATGTAGGCTGCCTACAGTACTGTCATTACCTTGTTATCAGCATCAATATCAATATCATCAGTATCAGCATATTCTTGTCAGTATGACCTTACCTGTCACAGCACATCACTGTAAATGGACACTTAATAGTATGTAAGCAGAGTGGCTATTTAACATGTTTGAAGGCTATAACCTAGAACGGGGCTGCCCAAACAGTAGCCTGCAGGTTAAATTTGGCAGATGAAGACATTTGATTAGACCCCGAAAACAATACAATCATATATTTATACTATAAATAACATATTAAATTCTTATTTTTCTCAAAATGGCATTTTTTCAGTTTGTTTAGTTATAGAGTATAGTGTACCTTTTACCCTCCTTCTTTATTTGTATATTGTTTTGCCTTTTTGACCCTCAGCCCACCACAAACCAAATGTTTGCGAACCCATGACCATCAATAATGATGTCACAATTCATCAGTTAAACTTGATTATTTCACTGTATATATATATATATATATATATATATATATTAGTTAAAAGTTACCTTCTCATGGTACAAGTGAATTTCAAAAAAGCTTTCTAAAAAGAAATATATTGCTTTATATTTCATTTTATATTATTATTATAATACGAATTGCTGCTTTTTCTTATATATAGTCTCTGTCCAATTATTTTAAATTGATTTTTCTACATCATTTGAGTTCATTAGCTGCTCTGTACATTGTTTAAAAAAATTCATGATGAATGAGCCAATAAAAATGCTCCAATTACTTAACAACATGTTTCCCTTCTCCTGTAAAGCTGCTATTTTGGAGATACATGTTTTTTTTTTTGTTTTGTTTTGGTTTTTTTGTATAGCAACAATAGACTTCCTAATTGATCCTTTTCAGTCTTTGAATCCTATTGTTTTGTTAAATCTATTTTGGCCTCCTATTTGTTTGGCCTACTGATATGAAAAATCCTGATTACTCCATTATTTTTTTTTTTAAATTGGTAGATTACACAACTCTAATGCTATCAGTAGTGACAGATCTAAACTTCTCTCTCACTTAAAACTATGCTATAAGTTTTTACATGTTTCTCTGATAATCTCTGACTGGTGCCAGTGTGGGAAGAAATGCTAAAAAAAACAAAGACCCACACAGTGAGGCCTACACAAAACATTTGCAATGTGCTTGAGTGTGTGTGTGCGTATGTGTGTGTGCGTGTGTGTGTGTGTGCTCATGTATGTCTGTCTGAAACCTTTTTCTTACGTTCAGTTTTCCTCATATCTTTGATGCTTTGAATTACTAATTGCTAAAAGTACTGGAACCCAGCAGGAAAGGAAAACCATTGTTCACTTTTCATATAACTACGATACCATGGTATTATATGATAACATACTATACATGTGGAATTATTTCTTCCTTTAGACCAAAGACTTAAATACTAGCTGATTAGTGTCTTAGTGACATCATTTTGACACTGTGGATATATAAATGCAAAAGAGCGCTAGGGTATCAAGCAAGCTCTCCACAACTGAGCACTGAAACAGACATCTGAAATCTTTACTGCCTGTTTTCAGACTGTGTACATAGGTGTATGTACTGAGTATTTGACTACTGGCCAATCCTTATCTTTAGCACTGTAATGAGTGCTCTTTACCAGAGGGAGGCAGTGAAATATTGCTAAGACCTGATGGTGACCCCGTAGATTTTCTATTTATATTTTCTACATAATTTTGTCATTGAAATGTAAACAAAGTCATTCAGAGTGGTTTGATGTAAAATAGTTAATTGCAGAGAAACTTACCAAGTTAGAATTGTTCACAGTGGTGGTGATAGGAACCAGATATCGAAGCCTCTGAAAGCTACCTCTCAGAAAGTTATTATACAAGGTGGTTTTAAATACGCTGCCTGATGTTAAGACATTGTTTTACAATAGTTTTAAGATAAGATTCAGGCCTAAAATTTATTTCATAAAAATAAAAATAAATTCATGGCAGAGGGGTACATGAAGGCTGTTGTATGCAAAACAGTCCCCAGATTTTCAGGTTTACAACTATTTTATCATTATCAACATTACTTATAAAACACAGATGAGACAAGTTTACTGGTCATTTTGAATAGCAAATAAAATGGTTATAATTGTGTGTAGACATTGTGATTACTGGTTCCTATCACTACCATTATGAAGGAATCCAAGTTGGTAAGTTTCTCTACAATGCACCATTTGTCATCAAACCACTCTGAATGACTTTGTTTACCGACTGAATGACTTTGTTTACTGTTTCTTAGTAACTCAGAGACTGAATTATGCCGAAAGTTTGAAAAAAATGGTGGAATTTCCCTTTGACAAATAATATCATGTTTTACAGTGGGGTGCGAAAGTTTGGGCAGCCTTGTTAATTTTCCTGATTTACCTTTATAAATCATTGATTGTTTGAATAAAAAAATTCCGTTAAATATATCATATAGGGGACAAACACAGTGATACTTGAGAAGTGAAATGAAGTTTATATGAATTACAGAAAGTGTGCAATAATTGTCTAAACAAAATTAGGCAGGTGCATAAATTTGGGCACCAAAAAAAAACCTTAACTCAATATTTAGTAGATCCTCCTTTCGCAGAAATAACAGCCTCTAAACGCTTCCTATAGCTTCTAATGAGAGTCTGGATTGTGGCTGAAGGTATTTTAGACCATTCTTCTTTACAAAACATCTCTAGTTCATTCAGGTTTGATGGTTTCCGAGCATGGACAGCTCTCTTTAAGTGACACCACAGATTTTCAATAATATTCAGGTCTGGGGACTGAGATGGCCATTCCAGAACGTTGTACTTGTTCCTCTGCATGAATACCTTAGTAGATTTTGAGCAGTGTTTAGGGCCGTTGTCTTGTTGGAAGATCCAGCCCCGGCGCAGCTTCAGCTTTGTCACTGATTCCTGGACATTGATCTCCAGAATCTGCTGATATTGATTGGAATCCATGCGTCCCTCAACTTTAACAAGATTCCCAGTCCCTGTACTGGCCACACAGCCCCACAGCATGATGGAACCACCACCAAATTTTACTGTAGGTAGCAGGTGTTTTTCTTGGAGTGCTGTGTTCTTTTTCCTCCATGCATAACGACCCTTATTATGCCCAAATAACTCTATTTTAGTTTCATCAGTCCACAGCAACTTATTCCAAAATGAAGCTGGCTTGTCCAAATGTGCTTTAGCATACCTCAAGCGGCTCTGTTTGTGATGTGGGCGGAGAAAAGGCTTCCTCTGCATCACTCTCCCATACAGCATCTCCTTGTGTAAAGTGCGCCGAATAGTTGAACGATGCACAGTGACTCCATCAGCAGCAAGATAATGTTGTAGGTCTTTGGTGCTGGTCTGTGGGTTGACTCTGACTGTTCTCAACATCCTTCGCTTCTGTTTATTCGAGATTTTTCTTGGTCTGCCACTTCGAGCCTTGACTTGAACTGTGCCTGTGGTCTTCCATTTTCTCACAATGTTTCTCACAGTGGAGACTGAAAGCTGAAATCTCTGAGATAGCTTTCTGTATCCTTCCCCTAAACCATGACGGTGAACAATCTTTGTTTTCAGGTCATTTGAAAGTTGTTTTGAGACTCCCATGCTGCGACTCTTCAGAGAAGATGCAAAGAGGAGAAAAACTTACAATTGCCCCCCTTAAATACCCTTTCTCATAATTGGAGTCACCTGTGTATGGAGGTCAAGGGTCACTGAACTTACCAAACCAAATTTGAGTTCCAATAATTAGTTCTAAAGGTTTTGAAATCAATA